CCTACACGGATCTTTCTGTCAAAAAGCTATTGTTTGGGTATCTAGGTGCTGCGGTGCGTTGGCCCACCGCGCAGACGCTCTGCTTGCCACAGGAAGTCCAGAATCACCTGGAACCCAGTATTAAGAAAATATTTCTTCCCATGGGCTTTCAGTAAGGTGGAATGGCTTCCTTCGTGAGCTGAAACCGTTTTTACGTTTTCAGTTTTATTATTGCCGGGGAAGGCCCCTTTACCACGCGGGCCATTTCCTGCAAACGTGCAGCTCGCAGCACTTCGCCGAGCGCCAGGCGCACGCCTGCCCCGCTCCGGGGACACCCGGTCGCCTCCCCGGCCCTGCGCGCCCGGGTAACGCTCTCCGCTCGCTCTGCGTTCAGCTCGCGCGCCCAGCCAGGCGGGGAGGCCAGCCGCCCGCGTCTCGGGCCGGGGACACGCACGCGCGGCGCCCACGTCCGGCGGCGCGGCGTCGGACGCTGCGGAGGATCGAGAAGGATCTGGAAGAATCCGGTTAGACCGGGGGGACGGGAGGGGGAGGCCGGGAGAGCGCGCGGCGGGGGCGAGGGCTGGCCCGGGAGTCCGAGGGTCCCAGGACCGGGGCGGGGCCAGGCGGCCGGCGGGAGGAACGAACCAGAAACCACCTTTCGCAGGAGCGCCCTGAGCGCCAGAGCCCGAACCGGCCGCCGTCTCTAGAAAGTTCTCCCCCCACGTCCTTCGCGGCCGCCCGGCTCCTCCCAGCCCCTCCCTCCGCGGCGGTGGGACCAATCGCTCCCCCGGCCGCCCACGACCCACCTCCTGCGCTCGCCCGCGCCGGAGCAGAGGTGCGCGAGCCCCGACCGGCCGCCAGCACAGCCGCGCACTGACTGGCGCCCGCTGTCCGAGGAACAGCACGATGACCGCCGAGGAGACGAAGGCTGCAGAGAGCGGAGCGCAGTCGGCGCCGCTGCCCCTCGAGGGGGTGGACATCAGTCCCAAGCAGGATGAGGGCGTGCTTAAGGTAAGGGGCGGGGGCGCCCCGGGGCGGCGGGGGGTCCGCCCCCCCCCAGCAGCCGGCCGGGGCTCGGGGCTCGGACGGCCGCCTCTGCAGCCTCCCGGCCGGCCGTTGACCGCGGCGTGCAGCCGTGGCCGGGCGCACCGCCTTGCTGGCCGGGCCGCCGGTTCGGGGCGGGAGGGCGGCCACACGCTCGGAAGGAGGAGGTCTGGGCTGAGTGCTCCCCAGTCCCCCAGCCCCGGTCCCCGGCCCCCAGGCCCGGGAGCGCAGCGCCTGCTCCGGCCGCCGCGTGCGCGGGGAGGG